GGGGGGCTGATCAAGGAGGCAGCAGATCTCAGGGGGGCTGATCAAGGAGGCAGCAGATCTCAGGGGGGCTGATCAAGGAGGCAGCAGATCTCAGGGGGGGCTGATCAAGGAGGCAGCAGATCTAAGGGGGGGCTGATCAAGGAGGCAGCAGATCTCGGGGGGGGGGCTGATCGAGGAGGCTTCTGGTGGCAGCAGATCTCAGGAGGACTGATCAAGGAGGCTGCTGGTGGCAGCAGATCTCAGGGGGGCTGATCGAGGAGGCAGCAGATCTCAGGGGGGGCTGATCAAGGAGGCTTCTGGTGGCAGCAGATCTCAGGAGGACTGATCAAGGAGTCTGCTGGAGGCAGCAGATCTCAGGAGGACTGATCAAGGAGGCTACTGGTGGCAGCAGATCTCAGGACGACTGATCAAGGAGGCTGCTGGTGGCAGCAGATCTCAGGACGACTGATCAAGGAGGCTGCTGGTGGCAGCAGATCTCAGCTACCAGCTGCTGAGGGAGCAGCTGCAGCCCAGTTTGACTACGGCTTTATCGCTCGCCACTCCTCGATGCCCCTGCTGCTGCTGCAGCTGCTGCTTGCTCTCCCAGCCCTGGAAGACGGCCAAGACAGACAGCACCGCCGTGGCGCGGCGCAGCAGGGCCCGGCGGATCCGGCAGCGGGGGATGTGGGCTCCGTTCCAGGCAGACGCCCGTCAGGTCTAAGCCACTTCCCTTTCTCGGAAAGAAGAGCCGCTTCAGCCGGAGGAAGTGCATCAGACACTCACACTTCCTCGCGGGTGTGAACCCGGCCGCTCGTCCCCGTGATTTCTTGGGGGGGGGGGGGGGGAGGGGGATCAAATAGGAGAGATGAAAGGAAAGCCGGCGCCCCACCGTGCCCACCCCCCTCCGCACCTCGCAGTCCAGGGTGCCCCCCAGGCTGTCAGCGGCGGGCGGCTGCAGCAGCTCCCAGGTGCCCCCCTTGTCGAAGGTGATGACCGAGCGCATGTTCTCCTCGGTCAGCGAGCCGTTGGTCAGCGTGGCGATGTAGACCCCCCGCAGCCCCTCCACGCGGTGGATATCCGCGAAGGGCTCGCTCGCGAAATACCTGCGCAACACGCAGAGGCGTGACATCAGGTTGGTGGACCGGTGAGGGACCACCCCCTCCACTGATGCACACTGCAATGCTAACTGCCCGTTAACTGATGGGATTGTTTATTAACAAGCTCTTGCTCTGTACATGCTGACCCCCCCCTGCACCGCTGCACACTGGAAGTGTTAACGTAGCTCGAGTAGGGGGCTGCGTCAGCATGCATAGGCTGCAAAGGAACAAATAAAAGAAACAACGTTTCGGCTGTGGCGCCTTCTTCGGGTGTCAGGAGGCTCCCCAGCCGAAACACTGCGTTTCCTTTCTTCTCTTTTCAGCCTGGAATAAACCTGCACTTGTTCAATTGATGGCACTGTCTGCTATCCAGCTCCTGCTCTGCAAGACTGCTGAACAGCCCCTGCGTTAATGCTCACTGGGATGTTAATTGCTTGTTAATTGATGGCGCTGTTTGTTTAACCAGCTTGTGACTACCCCCTGCACTAATGCATACTGGGATGTTAATTGCTTGTTAATTGATGGCACTGTTTGTTAACCAGCTAGTGACTACCCCCTGCACTAATGCATACTGGGATGTTAATTGGTTGTTAATTGATGGCGCTGTTTGTTTAATCAGCTTGTGACTACCCCCTGCACTAATGCATACTGGGATGTTAATTGGTTGTTAATTGATGGCGCTGTTTGTTAACCAGCTAGTGACTACCCCCTGCACTAATGCATACTGGGATGTTAATTGATGGCACTGTCTGTTAACCACTCCTGCTCTGCAAGACGGCAGACCACCCCCTGTGCTGACCCGTCTCTCGGCGGCCGGCTGCCCAGTGCCCAGAGCTGAGCTGAGCCGAGCCGAGCCCCGGCACCCCCCCCCCCCACCAGTGGTACCTGATGAGTGAGCCGCTGCCCGGGCCTTCCGGGCTGTAGTACAGCACGTTCTCCAGGGACAGGGAGAAGCTCAGCCCCTCCGCGTCCGAGATGTACAGGTTGGTGACGCTGCCGTTGTGGTTGACGCACACGAACACCTGGTCCTCGGACGCGTCGGCGATGTAGTACTCCTGCGGGGGCGAGAGGAGACCAGTCACGCACCTGGCCTGCGGGGCGGGGCGGGGCGGCCGGCCGGCCGGCGTGGCTCACCGTGATGGGGTGGCGAGTCATGAACTGGGCTGCTCTCATGGGCTGGCGGTTGTAGGAGACCCACAGCTGCACGGAGGACGGCCCCTGGCTTCCCAGAAGGCTCTGAACGGACAAGGGCAGAAACAGCGTGTCATCGGCTCCGCCCTCCAACACACTCGGAGCTGCATGAGCCCTGCAATGTGGCACTGATGCCCGTGTCCTTGCAGAAAAGTGATGGATTACATTCCTTTAATTTTTCCTCTGTTTCACTGCTGGCCTGTTTGATCTCCCCGAGCCGGCTCAGCTCACATTTAGTCACCCAGGGGGTTCAGAGAGGATGATCACTGCACCACACTGCCAACCCCCCCCGCCACTGCCTTTTGGTATCACTGCGAGAAGAACTGGAAAGGCGAGCATTGGCAAAGAGGCTATAAAACTCTTAGAAGAAGCCCCTGATGCAATCTAGTCCTTTGACGATTTGTACAAAAACAGGGCCGAGCACACCCAGAGCAGCGCACTGCCCTGCAGGGCCTAGCAGTGCAGAACGACTCCATGTGGTTCTTCTGATGGGATCGGTACTGCAGTCCAGCACACCATGAGCCACGTCCGCCAGCAGCCATCGGCCCACCACCAGTGCCGGATTTCCCATCAGGCACTGCAGGCACAGTGCCTAGGGCCTTCGAAATGTTAAGGGCCCACGAAGGAGGGAACCACTAGCGACTAACGAAGAAACGAGCTGAAACAACAGGCTTGCAATCGACTCTAGGTGCTCCAAATCACCGATCACACGCTGTCTAGCGACTGTTCCAGACATCAGAAGGATGAGAAGTGATGGTCACTCGACTCGCTCCAGCAATCACGGGGTTTAGCATTGGAAGAATTTAAAGTGCATCATGTCGATCGACGTCACTCAATTGGCGTTTACCCCTCTTTTTGCACGTTTTGGAGTGAAAGTGCCTGGGGCCTACGAACGCCTAAATCCGGCCCTGCTCACTGCAGCTTTCCGACAGATAGAAAGCGCTCCGCAGATTTCTCCTGACAGCATCTGGTACGGAATTTTCACTGCACCTAAATCAGGCTGACATTCATTGCCTGTATCAGCGGCTGCTCACAGGGCGGTTTTGTGAATGCATTTCTGGGTTTTTCCTTATTTAAAAAAAAAAACACATTGTCCACACCGATCTCTCTTCTACAATCTTCAGGAGAGATTTGCGTCGCAAGCGTATTTCGCCAGATTGTGTATTTCACAAGCACAAGCAGTCCAATTTAGATTTCCTGAAACAGAAGGCCTTTGACATCTGAAGCCCATAGAAGGAATCAAGGAAGATAAAGGGGCTGTCATGCGCACACAGTTCCTGAATCTCCTGTCACTCCCTCTGCATGTTATGTCCTTGCCTCTGCACTAAGCCTGAAGTTTAATGCAAGGTCACAACTGAATCTCCAATGCCTTCCCTGAGCTCCTGACTAATAGGATTCTGAACTATATTTTTTCACAGTCCAAATTCACAATTACTTTAAGTACAGAATGCCCCGTACAAGTGGCCTCAATTAAAAATATCATTACCACCGTGAGTGTGGCAGAGGCACGGTTCTACCACTGGGCCTAAGGAGACGCCCTGGGCTCTTGGAAGAAAAGAGGTGTCGTGGTTACAGACACACCACCCCCTCCGCACACGGCCACAAGAAAGACCCCGCCGAACGTCCACAGCTCATCTTGCAAAGTCACGCGACGGAGGGGGAGGTTTTACAAAATGCAAACTAGCTGTACTCAGCTCCAGATAAAACTGGTTTCGGTCTGTGGTTTTTGTGGGCGCCAATTTCTATCTGAGCATCTACAACGAGGAAGGCACAGGTCAGGTGTCCTCGATGACAGCTGGTGCTCTGCAGCAATGTGAAACTCTCTCAACGTCTTCACGCTCAGCTGGGACAGGAGCTCGACACAGGCGATGGCGGAACCGCTCTTGAGCGCACGCGTCTCCAAGTCGCGCAGCACGGGGGCTATGAATAGTTTTCGGAGTGGTGCAGCGAGGGCGTGGGTCGAAAATGCAAGCGGCTTTCTCAGTTTCTCACACTTCATTCTGGGATCTTCACTTCACACGCAGTCCCTAGACCTAGACATGCTGCAGATCACATGTCTGCACATGATCACAGATCACATCCTGGCCAAATTTCCCCCTGGCCTTTCCCAGTCAGGGCCTCCTAATAATCCCCATCTCTGAACTGGCTTCATCACTCTGCTCTCCTCCCCACTGAGAGCTGGTGTGTGGGGAGAGGACTGGAGCATCATCCAGGTGGGGCTGCACACTGGTGGGGGTGGAGGGGATCCCCAATACCTGAAAAGCGCTTTGAGTGGAGTGTCCAGAAAAGCGCTATATAAAGTGTAATGGACCTGTAATGGACACAGTTTTCACTGTATTCAGCAAAACCGCACTACTTGTACATATTGCACACACCATGGACACACAACAGCTCTGCTCACATTGAGTTTTATTCCATTTCTATTACATCTAATATTAGGGAACCCTCTTTTCATAACCTCAATTTTGTGATTTCTGTGATTCTTGTGAGCTCGTGCAAAAGACATTTCATTGCCGGCAACTACTGCTGCACGCTGCACTGTTGTGCATTTGAGAAATAAACTTTGATTTGATTTGAACCTGCAGGCCAGCGAACCTTCAGTGAGCTCACTGGAGTACCTCCCCCTCCGTGCGGTTTGTCCCCTGCTCTCTACCCCCTGACTGCAGGCTGCGGTCTTCCCCGACCACCGTTATTACAGCCCCTGCTGTAGCGTGAGGACTCACTCTCGAACCCAAGGCAAAGCAGAAGGAGTCAGTGAGCCAACGGGAACGAACGGGTTAGGGATACCACCAGGAACGGCACTTTTTGATGCCGAGAGCATTCTTGGCCCGAACAGCCTGGAAATCTGGTCATCGTTGACCTAGACGAACCAGGAGGTATCGAAAGCTTCCGCTCCCAGCAGTTCGCTGTGAGCGAGAGAAAGGCGATAGCAGGGGGCGATGACAGCAGAGGAGCCACAGTGGAAAAGCAGAGAGAAAGACGAAAGAATGCGCTGAACCTGTTTGAACCCCTTTTACAAAAACTTAAGGTCACATTTTTAACTGATGCTCTTAATCATTTTGGGAATCATTTTTTTCAGCTCAAATTGCACATCTGGACCAGTATGTACTACCCCCCCCCAAACCATCAGACGCATTCTACCCATATTGTGCTCAACAGATGCGTTCCAGCAGAACAGCTTGTATAAACATGCCACAGTACGGTGCAATTTTACCGTGACACACCAGGAGACCTGCACCAAATGTATTCAGCCCTTCTGCAGCTGGGGGCTGTTTCTACAAAAGAGCTTGTGCACAGCAGACCACAAGCCTCACTTAACACACTTCCTGACCCTGAACAGTCTCATTTACTGTCGTCTGCTGGCGGTGCGGCCCCCTGTCACCTCTCCAGGAGCAGACAAAGACACAGGGCCACAGGCCGCCTCCTCCGACGGGGCAACCAGCTCTCGATTTTCCCCTCCGACTCACAACGGAGGCGGGCTCGTGCTCTCCCCCCAACCCACGAGAAAGGCCACCCGCCGCAGCTCCGGGAAAGACGGTTTTCTTTCTGCTTTTGTTCTAGTGCCAACAGATGCCTTTGGTGCCGGAGCAACCAAAGATGGTTCTCAAAAGCCACAGGGAAGGGCTGTGGTTTGTGAGTCAACAGCCATAAACCTGGCACAGTCCCCAGTTAAAGCCGGCGTTGGATCCGGTGTACTTGGTGATCAGCGGGATTAGAGAAGCGACTGTAGGGCCCACCCCTGGGGTGATTTCAAATCCCTGAGTCCGAAAGGCCCAGGATTTCCACCCCATCAGTACCTGACCGCTTACTTCCATTATCTCCAGCCCTTCACAGTGCAATCAGAACACGCACATGTACAGGCCCTCAAACAGGCGAGGAGGAGATCGAGTCTCACGAGCAAAGGGAGAGGAGCGCAGGTCTAAGGAGGAATGCAGCGGTCAGGTCCTTGAAGGCGCAGGGCCACGGCGTGATAATCGGGTGGGCCTGGCAGCCTGCCGAGCTGGGCTGGCCACAAGCCCGCCGCATGCTTGCGGTGTGGGCAGCGCGGGCGTGGAGTGGCCAAAGGCTGGTGCCCTTGCAGAAACCCACAGAGGAAGGAGATGAAAAGGTTACGTATCAAAAAAGAAACAGCCCGGAAAATGCAAGAGTCACTTTGGGGAAATGCACAGCACACACACACACATACATTGCATTGATCACCCCAGAGGTATTCGTCCAACAACCTGTATCTTTTCATTGTATCTACTGCAGAAAGCGCCCTGCCATTTAGCTGTTTACACTGGCAACACTGGAAAAAAAGACAGGCCAGGCTGTACTTGGAAGTATTGCGGTAAATCACTAATCCAGCAGAATCCATAGACTCTCGGGAACGAGAAAGCTTCTCCCAGTGGGAGCTGTTCTTCTCGAGAAGGAGCAAGGATGAAGGCCCTGACTGCTTCAAGGAACAGGCCAGAGCGGTGAGGATCAAAAGATCGCTCCAAGCCCATAATCCCCCGCTTCACGTCTTCCAGCCCATAATCCCCTGCTTCACCTCTTCATCTTTTCCAGGGATTTTCAGGACTATTAACTCCCGAAAGGCCAGCAAATCCACGACGCTCCCCTCAGCCATCGCCCACCGGCTCGACTTTTTTCAGATCCCTCGGTTACTTTATCGATTTCGTCGGCCTGCTCGGACGCTCCCTCTCGCCCGCTTGCTCTCTCTCCAGCGTCCTTCCTCCTCCCTCATCCCTCCCTCATGCTCCTGCTCCAGACCACACTGGAGTGCCCCTTGACTCATGAAGAAGCAGGGCCACTGTGCAGCTGCTCTGTCTTGGCACGTCTGCTCTATGGGACCGAGGGCCGACAAGCCAGCGCCAGCTCCTGCCCGTGAGTGTCTCCAGCGGCCATGAGATCACTTTATTAGCCCTGTACAGTTCCTTGCATTAGGAAATAGTCCCTAACTGGCCAGAGTTTTTCTTTGCTGAAAATTGCATCGATCGACAGTTTTTTTTCCATTTTGATTGCTTCAATTAAATGCTCTCCGAGACCCTGTTTATCTCCTGCTGCGTCAAATCTATCAGTGTCACGGCCTTATTTGCAGCATCAGCCTTTGCAGAGTGTTTCTGAATTACCCGTGCTCTCTATTATGTGCATAAAATCATTCAATAAAAAAATCTATAATTAACTGGGGTCCATTTTCACAGGCAGACAGTTGATACACTGTGCTGCCCAATGGTTAACTATTATAACATGAATCAAGGGTCACTGATCAGGGAAAACAAAGTGTAACCAGAACAAGCAGAGCCGGGACCAAAATAAACAAGACATATCTGAATCAAACTCAAACATGAGCAAGCAGACACGTGGGGAAACTACCGGGGAGTGCATTTCCGGGAGCTCTTTACACAAAGGGTTGTGGGAGCCTGGAACAAGACGCCCAGCTGGGGTTTTGAAGCCGATACCCCGGATGCAATAAATAAATCAATTGCTTATACTTATATAGCGCTTTTCTGGACACTCCACTCAAAGCCACTCCACTCCACTTTACAGGTCATGGGGATGCCCTCCACCCCCACCAGTGTGCAGCCCCACCTGGATGATGCACCACTACAGTGGGGAGGAGAGCAGAGTGATGAAGCCAGTTCAGAGATGGGGATTATTAGGAGGACACCAGGGTAACACCCCTACTCTTTTCGAGAAACGCCCTGGGATTTTTAATGACCACAGAGAGTCAGGACCTCGGTTTTACGTCTCATCTGAAGGACGGCGCCTTTTTACAGTGTAGTGTCCCCGTCACTAAACTGGGGCATTAGGACCCACACAGACCGCAGGGTGAGCGCCCCCTACTGGTCCACTGACACCTCTTCCAGCAGCAGCCCCAGCTTTCCCAGGAGTCTCCCATCCAGCTACTGGCCAGGCTCACTCCTGCTGAGCTCCAGTGGGGCTGCCAGCTGGGAGCTGCAGGGTGACAGGGCTGCTGGCTGTGGATCAGGCCGCTGCTAGCAGCCAGAGGGACGGGCTGGACCACACGTCCCGTGACGGCTCTTGCGCCCAGCCCCCCCCGCCTCATCGCGCCTCCCGGAAACTCACCACGTTCCTGGTGGCGAACATGTACTTGTCGCGCAGCTGGAAGGAGTCCACCCGGTCCAGGATCAGCCGGCGGTTCGGCTCGCTCTGGAAGAAGTCGGTGCTGCTGAGGACGCTGGAGGTGTGCAGGGGCTCGTGGCGCTGGACGAACACGGTGGTGGAGGCGTCGTAGGGCTCCACCCCCCTGCGGGACAGGGACAGACACAGGGGGGGTGACCACGGGCTGCACAGCCTCCCCGACTCCCCACCCATGCGAGAGCCAGGCTCTTGGGCAGACGCTACGAGGAGTCTGGCCAAAATCTGTTATTTGGGATTCTTAAGCATGTGCTCCATTAATCATTAACTGTGGGTAAGTGTGAGACTATGCCCGTGAAATGAATAAATGAATCCAAGCTCCCCACTCTCAGGCTGGCCTGTGAAGCCAGGCAGTGCAGAGGAGTGACCTTGAAGAGTCTGGGGTGGGGTGAGGGGGGGGGTCACAGGTGACTTTTCCTCCCCACTTACAGCCAGTGTGTGTGTGTGCGTGTGTGTGTGTAAGGGTTTTGGGGGGCTACCGCCCGAAACCGAGTTTAAATCCAGGTCAGGGCTGCGCCCCCAGCTGTGCAGGCAAAACCAGACCGAAACAGCGACGAAGGAGTGTGCCTTCTTCACAGGAGCACTTCAGATGAGATCAGGCACCTCCTTCCTGCTTCCCCCGTGCGCTTGATCTCATCTGAAACCGCGAGAAGGCGGCAGCAGGGGCACGTACGTCCTTCTGAACACCTACTGAAGCCAGCCGGAGGGGACCTGCCGCCTCGCCTCCTTTGCGTGGCTTGAAAACGCGGAAAAAAAGGACGTGAAGAAGGAGCTGCTCTCGCTGGGCTTGTCTTTATTTTCTCAATACAGCCGAGCGGCGGTTTGGAGAGCAGGGGATGAGGTCACCTGTCCCGTCGTCTCTCCCTCTGCTCAGGCACATTGCAGTACTCGGCGCGGGGAATGAGCTCAGCCCGGCCTTGAGGGCGCCGTCATTTATTAATGCAGTCGTCTTGCCAAACCCAGGCCTCCCAGATTTTGAAACGGTTGCTGATCTTGACAGCACTCATGCAGATGCCTGCCCGGTCTCCTGAGCTCGCACCTCCAGCTCTCCCAGTCGGCTGGGTCACCAGGACTGGGATCTGCACGCACACGTGCCGCACTTCCATTAACAGAGCACGTACGACTATGCTGCTGTTACAAAAATAATAATAATGACGATTCCTCACACTTATAGAGCTCTTTTCTGGACACTCCACTCAGAGCTCTTTACAGGTCATGGGGATCCCCTCCAGCCCCACCAGTGTGCAGCGCCACCTGGATGATGCTCCAGTCCTCTCCCCACACACCAGCTCTCAGTGGGGAGGAGAGCAGAGTGATGAAGTCAGTTCACAGAGGGGGATTATTAGGAGGCCATGACTGGGAAAGGCCAGGGGGAAATTTGGCCAAGACACCGGGGTAACACCCCTACTCTTTCAGAAACACCCTGGGATTTTTAATGACCACAGAGAGTCAGGACCTCAGTTTTATGTCTTATCCTAAGGACAGTGCCTTTTTACAGTATAGTGTCCCCGTCACTATACTGGGGCATTAGGACCCACACAGACCGCAGGGTGAGCGCCCCCTACTGGTCCACTAACACCTCTTCCAGCAGCAGCCTCAGCTTTCCCAGGAGTCTCCCATCCAGGTACTGGCCAGGCTCACACCTGCTGAGCTCCAGTGGGGCTGCCAGCTGGGAGCTGCAGGGTGATGTGGCTGCTGGCAAAACCGAAAAAACACCACCGAGCTGGTTCATCTCTCTCTTCAGAGACCTTCCACAGACGAGGTGAAAGGAGCTCTCAATTAGTCACTCCGTGCAGCAGGATGTCACAGGGGGACAGCGCACTCCCCAGTCAGCTGTGTCTCACAGGGCACGGCACACACACGCTTTCATTGGCCTGGAGAAAACACGATTAGCGCTCACTGGAAATGCATAGCAACCAGAGAGGCAATCGAAACGCATTAACAGGGAATTTATCTGCAAATCTTTCTGCTGTTAATTGATCCTGTTTTAATGAGTCTCGCTGTCAGATGAGCAGGGCACGGCAAACAGCCTTCTGGGCAGAACAACTACAGGAGATTAACAAACACTGACCCAGTAGCACTTATTCCATCTTCCGCCTGTTTCAGAGCGAAAAGCCCATTACTGCTTTGTTTTTCATGGTCAAATCTTCAGGGTTTCCCGAAGGATAAGTGGGAGATCATCACGGATGAGGCAGCACAGCTCGGAGTTTAAATCCTGCCCCCCCCAAAAAAAAAACTCTCGCCAGGATGCAAAAGGACTTTGGGATGGAACCCCCAGATCCAGGACAAATTGGGGGGTCTGGATGGTTTGGATCAGTTGTTCCCAGCCTCGGTGCAGGAGGGGTTACTGTGTCTGCAGTTCCCAACGAGCTCTCCATCACTGGTGCTGAATTATTCTCTGTGTGTGGCCACAGGAGTCAGGCCCTGGAATCTAGCACACATGAGCAACAGCCAGGAAACGAAAGCACCACTTTGGCATCGCACTGCCAGCGCAGGCGTCAACTTCCAGGGGCGGGAAAATTCCTCCTTTTAATCCTAATGCGTCGGGAAAGAAAAACAACCAAACTCACCAGAAGTAGGCCTTGACGTGCTCCTGAATCAGCACCCAGGTCTCGCCAAAATCGTCCGACTTCCACAGCTGCAGCGGGGCGAGGAGAGAGGAGGGTTAAACTCTGCTGGCTCGCTTCGGAGCTGCAGCTACCAGCGCCGAAGGAAGGGATCTCGCCTGCATGCGGGTCTAGTCGTGAAACATGCCCATCAGGAGTTTAGCACAGAAGATGGGAGTTCAGCACGGGGGAGGGAGACGCATCTATGCTACGGCAAGTGTGAAGGTTAGAGTTTAGCATGTGAACGCAGCAGGAGTTCACAGCTCCTACCACTATAGGGGTACAGAGGAACATACAGATTCTGCCAGCAGACTCCATCAGCGCGTTGCCACTGAAGCGGTCTAAGGAGAGACCAGCCGCGGAGCTGGCCCACGAACAAGCCGGCCCCTGGTCGTGTCGGGGAGCACGCTCACCTGCTTGTTCGGGTGGGTGCTGTCGTAGCCCAGCACCAGGTTGGGCATCTTGCTGTGCAGCAGCAGGTCCGTGGGCCGGAAGGGGGCCAGGATGCCCTGGATCGTGCGGCAGAAGTCGAAGGTGTTCCACAGGTAGCCGTTGGTGGTGTCCGCAAAGAGGTACTGGGAGAAGAGGAGGGGGGAGCGGGGTGTGATTAACCTGGAAACCAAAGCATCTGGAGAAAACCCATGCGGGGGCAGCAAGAACATGCAAACTCCACACAGAAGACCCCCCCACCCAGAGGCCAGAGTCCAATCCAAGAGACCCCAAGACCTACAAGGCAGCAGCGCCAACCATCACTCTACCATGTTGCCAAACATGTTCCTTTCTTCCTCCTGCCCTCATGTGCGCCTTTCCTCTCATCGGCCGGATGAGAAAATGAATCCGCACACTTTTGCCTCCAAAGGGATGTGCAGACCTCAGCTCAGAAAACCGCCCTGGAAGGACAACCGATTCGCCTCACTCGGGCTTCTGGGTGAATCAGGTTGCTGGCCGTTATAAGCTTTTGCACGTGTGGACAAGCAGCTAAGGCACACAGAGCCGTGCCCTCACCCTCTTGTTGTCCGCTGGGCTTTGGTAGAACTTGGCAATGACCTGCTTGCGGCCTGCTTTGTCACCCGTCAGCTGGAACTTGTGCGAAATCGGCTGGAAGGAGGCGCCATAATCATAGGAAACATAGACCTGCCAAAAGGACACAAGAGACACAGTCAAGAGCAGCAATGAAAAGGGCCAGAGTCTTTTACAGCTGAAGTGAAAAAGAGGAATGACAAGGGAATCAGGGATGTTATTCCCTGATCCCAAGCTTGGATATTTCAGCCGACACTTAGAATGGGACCAGTACCCACAGACTGGAGATTGGAGATGTAACACCGATGTACAAGGAGGACACACTTGAATCAGGAAACCAGAGACCAGTCTCCGTTCGGTCACAGGTAAAGTTTTGGAACTCACAGGCAGAGGTACATTAGATTAAACTGTGGTATTTTATAAGACAACCAACGTGGAATTGGAAAAGGTAAGTTCAGTAGAATTCTTCACGTAAGCAGCAATGACAGAAGGCAAAACTAACATATTAGTTGACTTCCTCTTAGAAGGTTGATTCTCAAACTAAAAAGCCACAGGAACCCGAGATAATGTATATGCACGGATCACGAACTAGTTAACAAACAGGAAACAATGCATTATTTTAAGAAGCACAAGTCCTAAGTTGCCAGATGTTAGTGGTGTGCAGCAGGGACCAATTTTTGGACCCAGTGTCCTTCCTGATCTATGCCAGCGATCTTGGTTTTGATACATCCAGCAAACTACTTAATCTTGCAGATGTGATAAAAATCTGGGTGTTCATGTAGATTATTCTACATCATGGGCCAGGTGTGTTTCAGTTGAACGTATGAGAGCACCACCAAACCCTGTCATGTAAGGTCCAGCACCTATAAACGCGGCACAATCGTTCAGAGCACAAGCGTCTGCATCAGGCCACTCAAGGCCAAACTCTACCGCACATTACTGTGCGCCTGCTCTGCTGTCATACTCGACTCCTTCGGCGCGCTTCATCTTAACCCACGTCAAGGCCGTTCAGCTGCACTGGCAGGGCACCAATGAAAGCCGTTTCGGCAGCTTCCCTTTAAGAAGAGCTTCAGTTATTTCAGCTTGACATTCTCAAACTCCTGCAATTCGCAATAAAGGTGCAAGGTCAGGGAGAGGTGACGGAGGCTGGGAGCAGATCCTCTCTAACACTCTCGCAACCGGAGGAGCAAACTGCACTTTTCCGCCAGATCAGGTAGAGAGAGGAGGGGCGTTTGGTCAAGTAGCATTTGAAGGTCGCAGAAAAAAAAAATCAGTGATCCTTAATTAACCTTTGAATTCGTTTTCTTCACTATCTCAGGTCCTTTTTATCCAGACACTCCACATGGCCGCCTATACTTGCAGGCTCTTGGAAGGCTGCCTGAAGTCCTTGTGCGGCACGGCATGCCGCTTGTTTTCAGGCACCCCACGGGGCAGCCCCGGAGGAAGGGCTCGGCAGGACCCCTGCAGCACTGCTAGCGAGAGGCCCTGCTCATCTCGGATGGGGATACCGACTGGAATAACGTAGCGGTCCGTCCAGTTTATTTTCAAGGTGAAGTGCCCAGTATGCATTGCTACCCGATGAGAAACAATAGTCAGTCTTAAGTTAGCTTCATACATTCATGATGTACTGCTAATTACTGGCAGAGCCTAAACATTTCTGACAGATGGAAGGGCAGATCAATGTAAAAACCTCGGAGACCAGCTCATAGCTGATTCGAGCCTCAGTGATGTCAGGGGACAGCTGATCCAGGTGTCAGTAAATAATTAGTCAGCCCGGTGCTCTGTACAACAGCCGTGCACTGGAGCGACCAGCTGAACCCTCTGCTTCTGTCCTGGTTGTGAGGGAATGCTGAGTGATGTGCGACCTGTAGTAGTGTGTTCCCGGCCACCGCACTGGGGCAACAAGGTGTGCTCCCTGCCTGCTGTGCTGCTCACGAGCCCAGCCCGTTCGTCTCGGCCACGGGCGCCCAGCCTGCCAGCTCCGTGCTCTTTCCTAACACGGTCCAGATGTGTTTCTACTTGTGTTAGGGCATCACGTCCACAGATCGAACCGCTCTGTGCTGTACGTGTGACGGCTGCCGGAATCGCTGCCCCTCGGACTCACCGAGCTGGTCTTGGGCTCCAGGGCTCCTGTGCTGTCCCGGGCCAGAGCCACAATGACGTTACTCTTCTCTCCAGCCCAGTGGACCACCATCAGGTTGTGGGAATCATTCAGGCTCACCTGGGTGGGACGAGAGAAGAAGAGCTGTGAGAGCGAGGAACCACCTTTCCTCGAGCAGGCTTCCAGGAAGAGACGGGGGGGAAGGAAATCAGGAGCGCTCACTGCTCTGAACCCCAGTGGTGAAGCACAAGAGCATCACCTGTGCAAAACTGACAACCTTTCCGCAAAACGGTCTCCCCCCTGCCTCCCTTTTCTGAAGCACATTCTTGGGACGGACCTGAGCGCTTCAAAGGTTTAGACACTGGAAAAACAAGTGACCTGAAAAGTAGCACGGTTTTCCTTTTTGTGCTTTTCCTGCCCACGATAAAAACACCAGCAAGATGGCCCGTGCTCACGAGATTAACATAATTGTGCACTAATAAACCCCATACACCCACCAGGGCCGAAAACTACAGCTGAATCAATGTAAAAGCAAAAGTTCTAGCACGCCGCCAACATGCTCCACAAACATCTTTCCGAAAACCACAACATTCTGACCCGTCCGTCGGCCTGTGAGTGAGGAAGTACCAAAATCAGAGGTTTGGCAACGTCTCCTTCTCAGTTTCATAAATGAACAAACACTCAGCACTCTATGTCGCAACAATATTACGCAACAGTCTGAGTTCTAACCAAGATAAACTATCAACGTCTACAAAAACAGCTGAACATCTAAAACCATGAAATGTGCCCAGTCTCTCACTGCAGGTGGCTTGTCACAGGGCTTTGGAAGTGATGGCTCAGTTCTTAAAAACTGGATTCGTGCAAAAAAACAAAAACAACAAGCTTCCCTGTCTCCTGTCAATGTTTCATTGTCAATTTTAATTCCTCAAAATCACTACAGAATGAGAAGCACCTTCACAACCAGAAGGGAACGCATTTCAGAAAACCAGCATCCCTGAGCTTGTTTCACACCCAAAAAAGGATGGATCGAAAATATTATTTTCACAAGGACAGACCCTTTAAGGATGTGTTTTAGTGTTGCTTCGTGCCGGATTAACTCTGTCCCAAGGCTGCTGTGCCTAAACCCCTAGAACTATGGTACGTACAGTGTACCTAATGCCATAGCGGATTAGGTGGATGCTGCACACTGGTGGTGGTGGAGGGGATCCCCATTACCTGTAAAGTGCTTTGAGTGGAGTGTCCAGAAAAGCGCTATATAAGTGAAAGCAATTATTATTATTATTATTATTATTATTATAGTACCTCCTCACGGCTCTGGGGTAAAGACACCAGTATGGGGCACCGTCTGCATGGAGTTTGCATGTTCTCCATCCTGTGTTTCCTCCCATGGGCCAGAAACCTGCTGTCTATGGTAACTTGCGCCGACTAAGCACTTACCGACAAAGGACAGGTGGGTAAGAACCTCATGGCACATCTTTCGCGTTAAAAAAACATCCCAAAGCAGTTCCTTAAATAAATAGCTGGCACGGGGAGTCTATTCGGTGCCTCCAGCTCCTAGACCCCCCGAGAAATGAGCCAGATCAGAGAAAATGTGCGTCATGCCTTCAGCAGCCTTCTCTGGATCCCTCCTTACATCTAATGTGTGCCTTGGCAGAGGCCTTATGATTTTTGAAAACCTGCCCGTCCTCACTGGACGACGGATCTCGGCAGGAGCTGACGACGCACAAACGAGCGAGACCGCCTGCCTCCGGCGTCAAAGCCGCAGCAGGTAGACGAAAAGGTGGCCTGCCCTTGAGCGGGGCGAGGGGCTGCACCGCGCCATTGGGACTCCAGCCGCGCAGAGGAATAAAGGCGCACTAAGAAACGGGCTGCGTGTTTCAAAATCTTGAAGGACAGAAGCCAAGAAGCTCTGCAGCTCACACTCTCAGACCTCTTTACTGGAACAAATTGTAAAAAGGAAAGAAGACACAGCACTCTTCTCTTCAGCGGCCTGTGTGGGCTATTAATATTAAAGGCATGCTTTCTTCAACAGACCTTTAAAACTAAACATGTGACAGAGCTGCAATGACGCAGCTAAATAAGGAGAGTGCCAGCATGGTGCTTAATAAGACCTTAATGCATAAAAAAAGAATGGAAAGGAAGAAAATGAACACAAGCTCGCTTCTGCACAGCTTCAAGCTCCAGAGGCTCAGTAAGGAACCGACAGGCTGGGGGATAGCAGCACTCATGAACAGAGGGGACAAAAAGGGAACAGCCACTGAGCCACAAGCCTCTGAGGATCTGATTAAAGCAGCGGTGTCCCGCCACAGCCATAAGGCTGTGCAGGCTGCTAATGCCCACACTGCGGCGCTCAGCAATCCGGAAGACAACACATGGGCCGCACGCAGACTGACAAGCAGGGCCGCCACGCCAAGAAGAACCGCGACTTCACCCCCTCGCTGGATCTGGTTGAACTGAGTCCCTTAAACAGGCTCTGAACAGCGCAGCCCCCCCGTCTCCCAAGGCCCGTGCGCAGCTCCAGAGGAAACGAAGGCAGGTCAAGCAGCGGAGAGCCGGGATGAGACAGGACAGAGACGTGGGACCGCTCGAACGTGGCTGTGGAGACAGCGAGACAGCACGACAGTCTGTCCGCTTCCGGAGCTAATCCAAACAGATCAACAGGCCTAAATATCATTTTAATTTTAATATCATCACTCCTCCTACCTACGTTCCCACCTTCAGTTGCGTTTTCTACGTTTTGAAATAACTCAGATCTTTGGAAGGCTGTGGAGTTAAATGGCCGGGAACTCAGCCAGGCTCCTGTTCCTGTTTCTAAACGACCACCGTGACCGCAGATTCTGACCTGCGATGCCGTATTCGGCACCGGAGCACGTCCTTGGTGTGCGAGCCTGCACTGACTTAATCAAGCAACAGAGTCATTCAACAGCAGAACAGCCCAGATCTCCCACAGCCCCGTCAGAGGGGCAGAGAAGCACAATATAAACGAATAAAACCCTTTCTACCAGTGAGGCTGCAGCTGTTAGCACGCATTCCTGTCCCTGTCCACACTCTTAGTTTCAGGACGAAGACGGTGCCCCTGTCCAAGTCCCTGATCCCTCTGCTGAGTGGGACTACTTATATTATAAGTTATAAATCCAAAAACCCTGCCGTGAAACTCCCTTAAAAGAGAGCCTGAAAAACAGCACATTTGCCGTTTTCATAAAAATACTGGATGAAAATTATCTTCCGCGTGCATGTGTGTGGTGCTGGTGTAATTTTTGGACGATGTCCCAGTGCTGTGACCCTGAATGGCACTACTGTTCCAGTTTCAGCTTTAAATTAATACACCTGCATGCCCTGTCAAATGAGCCAGTTTCCTCCTTCCAATAACAACAATCCATTTCCCTCTTCACACCACAATAGTCTCTCTCTAGCCTCCGTACCTACAAATGACCATCACCGGCACTCCTGTGACCACCTGCTCATGATCTGCTCACCATATAGATTCTCTGCACTGGATAGTCAGGTCTGTCCTATCCCAGGCCTGTGCGTTGGTCACAGCGACAGACATCACTGCACTCCTGTGACCACCAGCTCATCTATCCTCATCGACTCTCTGCACTGTCTAGTCAGGTCTGTCCTACCGCAGGCCTGTGCGCTGGTCACGCTATGCTGCACTTCACTGCGTGACCGCCCTCACTCGATTTATCGTGCCCTGTGATCAAGTGTAATAATTAACATGCTATTACACCACACTCAGCCAGTATTGTCTGTCATGCTTTTAAGATAAAATATTCTCAACATAGAGGACGCGCAAAGTCACTGATATCATTAAAGACTCGCCATGTGATTTATGTTAGAATAGATGTTCCTTATGGCGTGAATTATAACACGCCGAGCTCTGCATCTCTCGGGCTTCAGCTGACACCAAAGTGGAAGCAGTGCAGGGGTTTCGAGCCCACTGCTTCCTGGCAGGAGGGCTGACCGCATCTGACGAGACAGAAACCATTTAGCGCCAAGTCAGTCGGACTCCAGTCGCCCCCGAAAGCCTCTGGGTTTCTCACGTCACGCCTCTCTCGCCTCATCTCCGACACGCTGCGTGACGAAGGCCACGCGTGTCCGTGACGCCCCGCTCGGCAGATTTTGAACCGACTGAAAAATGAACAGAATCGCGTGGCAAGGCCTAGAACGGGACTGCAGGGCCTGCCTCACCATCTGGGCGTTAATCTCACAGCACCACCCTGTCACGTCACAGCCCGATCGTCTCTCCCCTGGAACAGGGGAGGAACGCGCCCAACGCCACAGGTCCTGCCCGTCCTTGCTGGGTCTCTAGTGACCCCTCAGACAGCTCAATCTATTCCCGGACTGAGAAGCTACTGACTCTTCAACAAAGCGTACCGATAAGACAGAAAAACAGGTAACATTTGGCTACCTTTAGGCAAAAGGATTCAAAGTAACTCAAGGGGTCTGAAATGTCAGGTGCTGGGACGTCCAGAGCCTGCAGCTGATAAGCCCTGGACTGCGGCGCGTCATTGCGCAAAGCGAGATAAAAATAATTTCCCTGAGAGACGACAGCCCTTCAGCTGTGACACGCGGCCTGCACTCGTCTCTCCTCCCGCCCACAGGGAGCGGGCCAGCTACAGGTCCGAGCACGTCTGGGCCGCTGCCAGGCTAGGCGAGCAGTAACAGGCCGCAGGCCCGGCTGACCGCACGCCGACGACCCCGGAGGGGCTCGGAGGGGCCGCCCAGCAATCTCATGGCCAGGCCTCCCGCCCGTCCGTCCAGGGCAGAGCAGAGGTCACGGGTTCGAATCCGCAGCGCGGGCGGAGGGGTCTTTCCTCCCAAGGTCACACGAGCCCGGGCTCCCCAACTGGGAACACAAGTTGAATCCAGTAAGCAGCTGACACCCTAGTCCTTTTCCCCACCTGGCTCCTTCTTCACTCTCTCTCACACACACACACACACTTTGTCTCACAGGATAAAAGGCAGCACCACCAGGCAGGCCCAGCGCCGTGCCATCTTTAACCCGTTCCCATAGCAACCAAGGCCCGTAGGTGTCAAGTGAAGCCGCAGACAGGAGATATGGCACTGCATACCTGCCGCGCTCTCCACAGCGGACACCCGATGAGGAACGCAGGGCAGACACCCGGCCCTCGCTCTCCGCAGTCTGGACACGAAATAAGGAGCAGAGGCCCTGGCTCCAGGTGCAGTGTGAGCGACACGGGCCTGGCCCAGAGGGCCCGCTGAGTTAACAGCACAAATACCTGGGAGCCCTCTCGGGACTCGCTCCCCCTGGACCGGGGAACAACACACAGACACTGCCCCACCCAGGCAGGCAGCAGGTTCACAGCCTCCACACTCTCTCGCGCGCACACACACACACACACCTGAGGCACAAAACAGGAGCCGGCACACAAGGCCCGTGGGGTCACCAGGAATCCACATCAGCGTCCCTGAGCTCCAAGGTAACCCACAGACTGTGGGGGGAGCCAGGGAGCTTTCAGGGGCAGCAAAACAAAACTGCCGGACCTCCTAAAGGGGGTCTCGGCACCGGGATTCCCACATACTGAGAGTTTCAGATGCAGGAGAGAGTTCTTTTGAGTTACAACTCGCCATGGCTCAACACAGCTAGAACCCCTCGTCTCTGAATTACTCCTGTGACGCCAAGCGCCTCTCCCCCCACCCCCCCTTTCTGACCTGTTGCGCAATCTAGGTTTAAACACAGAGGGTTTGTGTTATGCCGATTAATCTTTCCACTTCCTTGTTCTCGCTTGTTTGTCAGTCTGCTCGCTGCAGCCCCAGAAGGCCAGCTGGCGTGAGTCAGGGCGCTTGACTGGAAGGGACGTGAGCCTCGGGGCTCCCAGAGCTCTCGCCCGCTCCCACTTCCTCTTACGGGCACGCGCACTCGTCACCCAGCGATTCCCAGAAGGCGGGTCACGTGACACGGGCGGAGGCCTCCATCACCCCCCGCGCAGGCTGCCACCCGGGCTTCCTGCGCCCCGCGAGCTCTCACAGACAGCCGAGCTCAGGGCGTTTCCCCCAAGACCCGCGCGGGGGACGACTGAGGACACCTGCCCAGCAGAGCACCCACACTCCTGCCCAAGGGGGCTTCGGCGTCAGGCCAGCTGGGCTTGCATAAACATGCAGGGCAACATTAGAGGAGAAAGCAGTTTAAAAGAAAGATGTCCTTTATGGGCTTTATTAAACACCTAAACATTAATGGGGCGATCAGGGGTGTTACCCCAGTGCCCTGGCCAAATTTCCTCCTATTCTTTACCCATCATGGCCTCCTAATAATCCCCATCTCTGAACTGGCTTCATCACTCTGCTCTCCTCCCCACTGAGAGCTGGTGTGTGGGGAGAGGACTGGAGCATCATCCAGGTGGGGCTGCACACTGGTGGGGGTGGAGGGGATCCCCACGACCTGTAAAGAGCTCTGAGTGGAGTGTCCAGAAAAGAGCTCTAGAAGTGTAATGAAGTATTATTATTAATCATAATAATAATATCATCACCCTTCTCAGGAGCCCCTTATCAATTCAATTCCCTTATCACCATGTGTGACTTATCAATTGATCTGTGTTCTTGAACCAGGGATTTTGCAATCCGTTTCAACAAAGCACTCGCAGGTCTAGTTCAGTGTGTTCGGCCCTGTATTCAAGTGCTGTGGGAGAGGGTCTTTGTGAAAGAGCCCCTGAACAATCCCAGGAGCCCACAGCCTCACGACGAGCCGCCCTGTCTGGGTCTAAAGCACTGACGTCTTTAAAACGGTCTTTTTCGCCTTTTTACGTTCAGTTGTAACCCTGGTGGTACAGTTCCAGTGTCCCCTGGGCGGGCAGGGCAGTAACTCCTGTTCCCCAGGCGCTGGAGAGCAGGAACCAGCGAGCTCGGGGAAGGCAGAAGGCCAACACCACGCACAGGTGGCCGAGACACTCGTGACTCAGTCACGCCTGGGGGCCATAACTCTCTTGGCAGCTACCTGCAGGCTGGTACCAGTCCCGATAAAAGAGTCTCTCAACAACAACAACAAGTCTCTCCCAGGCCGCAGAGCAGCGATCCCAGCAGCAGCCGGCCCATTTTAGAATAAAGGCCTTTGTACTGAAAAGGCTCCCTCTTGCTTCCCAGAAACTAACACCCCAGTGGGAACACAAGAATGCCTTCTTGGAAGACAGAACAAGGGAGCCACCGGTAAAATCACTAGGATCCATCAGCCACCCCATTCATTTTTTTTTTATCTGAGACACAAAAGCCAACCTCTTCCACAGTGACAGCAGCCAAACACTGGTCCTCTGTTTTTTCCCCTTCTTCCTTATCCAACAACCCGAGACTGTCGTGGAGTAGCAGCAGTGACCCTTTCTGCCGCAGCAGTTACTGAGCGACTGAGGGAGGACAGACTCCACCTCAAGCACAGAGACCAGAGCTGGAGAAGCAACAGAGAATTACGTACAACAGCTGCGGAGATCAATAATCATAATATTATTATTATTATTATTATTATTAACGTCACTTTATTAACCCTATACAAGCTCTCGTATTAGGAATTTGTCTCTTCGCAGACCCCAGCTTGCTCTCCATGAGACACACAGACAGGGAGAGAAGCTGGGGGTCAGAGCGCAGGGGCAGCCATTGTACAGCGCCCCTGGAGCAGTTGGTGTGAAGGGCCTTGCTCAGGGGCCCCAACGGAGTAGGATTCCTCTGCCGGCCACGGGATTTGAACCGGCAACCTTCCGGCCACAGGCGCAGATCCTGAGCCACAGAGCCCCCGCCCCGCCCAGCGAAGCGGATTCCTGAAAGCAGGGCTTCTGCTTCAAACCTGCGGCCCACACAGCAGATCCAGGTGAGACAACAGAAGGAATCTCAATCCCTGGCCTGCGCACCCTGTCAAGTCTCGGATACTTTCAGGATCGATTCAACCGAGCACCCCAAGAGACCGGGAGACGTTGGGATGCGAGTCACAGAAGGTGAAAGCAAAACGCCACGTGTTTCAACATTTACCTCGCTTTGTTTTTTTAATCTGGGAAGTGAATCAGGCTGCAGGACAAGACGGAAAAGAAACCGAAAGCAAATTCTAGAGCCCTTCGGCCTAGATCTCTTCGACACACCAGAACGCATCACTTAGGAGATGAGACGCACAACATAAGCAGGTTTTACCGGCACTGCAAGCGATCGTTCTAAAATAAAGGCTGCGTTCGCTCTCTCATTAACTCAGTGCACCGACTCTCAGCCCGGCACACACGTGAGACTGAGAAGTCTCGCCCAAGAGGTAGCCTGAACAAAGGGTTTTCTCTGCGACGGCCTTCGTATCTAGGCCACGGTCACGTGAGAGCAGACTCTGGGCCGCCACTCGCTTCCTCCTGAACAGTGCTTCCCACCCGTCTGCACAACAGATCACCA